AAAAAAAAATGATAAAGCATAAATCATTGACTTCTCCAACACTATATATCCCTCAAATCTTTGACGTCTTTGACATATACTCTTACCATTCATAGGATGACTTCAGCGTTAATCTTTTTAAACTTGTGTCAAGTTCCTCTGAAATAGAGGAGATATGATTTAAAATTCTACCTCTCTCTTTTTCTGTTATGCTTATTTTCATATTCGACTAATATTCTATTTTTACACATCCTTTTACTTATAATGCACTTTTCATTTACAATTATGTCCATTCGATCTTCTCTATTTTTATTAGTTTCTTATTTGTTTCGTACCATTATATATAATAGTTTTATTATAAAATATATAACCAATCACATTTTCAAAGATGAAAAGTGAAATGCTTGATGAAAACCAATAAAAATCAATTAGCACAAATGGGGTTGAAGAGAGAGACAAAAAGAAAAAAAAGTTAGTTGCTTGATGGCATTATGGCAAAGAGCACGCCCTTCACAAGTTTTTCATTCTATTTTACCAAAGATATTAGTAAAACTCTCAGCCGTACGATCAACTGCCCAAAAGGGCAGATGCAACCGTCCTCCCAACCACAGGCAACCGTTCGATCGCAGATGTACGTCTCTGATCTTTTTGCATGAGAGGGTTCCTTCTGCCAATTCCATGTGACCGTTCCTGTAGCGGCCGTCTGCACTTTTGGCCGCGGATCCGATATAATAAAAAAATAATTAGAAAAATCTCCCGATAATATTCTTTTTTGCATTTTTGTATTATTATTAGTTCCCATTTCCTCTTCACCTTCTCGCATCGGCTATTTTACATCCCTTTTCCGCGATTTCCCTCTTCTGGTTGGGCCGATCGATCCTCAATTCTGAGTTAAGGAAAATCTCAGTTCGATCTCGGTTCTTTGTGTATACTGTTACGTATAGCGTCTGTGTTTGTCTCCGGCATCGGTTGGATTCTCGCTTCTCAGCTGAAATTAGGGATTCAGGTTGTTGGGGTTTGAATTTTCTGTTTGATACGGGATTTTAGATCGATCTCATCTTATGGTCTTGCTGCGGCTTGGGATTTTGAACGGATTGTAATATGAGGACTATGCATGAGCGGTGATACTTTATGGCTATTTCGAGCATTTTGCATCTCCAAGCTTCGAATGGGTTAATGATAAGGGGTCCTCAGGACGCGCAGTGAAGGGTTGCGGTATATTGGGCGGTTTATGGGTTTATGAACAAAGTTTCTTTGGTTTGTTGGATTCTATGAGGTTTTGCGGTGAAGGGAGGCACTGGGGCAAGGGATGGTTGTTCGACCTGAAAGTTCAGTTTTTTAGTAGTAGAAGAAAATCGATTTTTACAGCGGAAGGATAGCGATAGTTGCAGAGGTAGATTTACGGGAACCAGTCAGTATTGGTGGTTACGTTTGGTGAAGATTTTGCAGATGTTCTCTACGGGGGCAAATTCTTCCTTGGAAGCGACCGGGATTGTCGGAGAAGTTTTATTTCCGAAAACGTTTGTATGGCGTTATGGGGGGAGCAGGGTCTTGGTGACGGGCACTTTTACGAGGTTGAGTAAATTTTCCTTTATTCGAATGTTATATATACATAAACCATTGTGTTCCTGTTTCATTTTTCTTCTAGATAAAATTTTGCTTTTGTTCTTTGCTAATTATGGTTGCGGCATCACTCATCTATTTACTCCTGTAGGTTGAAGATTTTTTATTTTTTTTAATAACCTTTGCAATGATCTTTATGTTACTTTGCAGTCTCTCCATTTCTCTGTTTTTCTAATGTTGCGTGGTTCCTCATACTGTGAAAAGGGTGTGTGGTGCAGTTTGATTGTCTCTAGCACTGAAGGCACTTGAAAAAAAATCATTTATTAACAAGAGCTGCCAACTTGCTGTAAGGGTCTGCCCATATAGTGGTAACCATCATGTGTCTAGTATGACTGAACTAAAGTGTGGGTTCCTGAGAACCTGCTGGTCTCCCTTGTTTAGCATTGTGTGCCTCAAAAACTTTCATAGAGTGCACAAGGACAACCAAAACAACATGGGTTGTTGGCTGCCAGATCTAGATTGTTGTCGGAGTTAACCCAAACCATCATAGGAAAAACAAATATTATTATTGAAAGTAAATAAGTGATTACAACCAGCACATTTGAAAGAGAATACAACAACAAGACACCCAAAATTTGAAATTGCAACATACACAACACAAACACTTAACTAGGGTGGATCTCAGGTAGTGTTGGCCGATAGTGGCTTGGAAAAGCTGTAGCAAGGGAGTGGGTGGATTGGGCCGTGAAGAAACGACTCCTACGGGCAGTTCTGGGAGGCAGAAACAGTAGCTAGACTACGACCGGTCTACAGGAGGTGGTTCCGACATTTGGGACAATAGCAAGGCGGCACGGGAAATGGTCTTGGGTGGCTGGAATGGCAATGATGTTGTCATGGAATGCTGGAACAACAATGAGGCTACATGGATGCAGTTTAGGTGGCTGGAACAACATTGGATAGAAAGGCGTGGTGCTTACAAGGCTGTGGCAACAAGGCAAAGGCTAGAAGAAGGTGGAGGGAAGGTTTAGGGTGGATGGGACAGTAGTGGAAAGCGAGGCGAGGGGCTTACGGGACTGAGACAACGAGGTAGAAGGCTGGGAGAGGGTTGAGGAAAGGTTGTCGGGGGGGGTGGGGGGACGGGGGTTGGAGAGAGAAGAGGGTTGCGA